TTCTGCTTATTTCGGATCACATCTGACTGTATATTACAGTTGAGTTCATTGAGCCGCGAGTCCCACAGCACTCGACCCATACGGGTGTACGCGATGGCCATCGTTGCCATCGGTATGACGTATGTTAGCAATAGAAACGCTATGTTATAACTATTGAAAAGTAAAGAGATTAAAAAAATTAAGAAAATGATGAAATTTTAGTATTAATAGATTGGTAAAGTAATGTTGCCGCCCCGGGGTAACGTTAAGATTATAAGATATGGTGGGCAAATTCACGATAGAATAAAATGTATTTCATAATTTGTTACAGTTTTCAAGTATACCTAATTGGCATTAATATCTTATAATTTTCAATTTATTTAAAAATTAAAAATCGCAACATAACTTAATTGTCCCATTATATACATGTATATATACCCAAACTCATAGTTTGAATGAACTGATATGCCGTCCGGCCATTCCAGTAGACACACCACACGATGTCTATATGTATCGTATGGTATGATTATAGTCCTGGAGTAGAGTAGAGTAGGGCTCGCGAAGAATGCCGAGCAAATCCAGATCAACGTTATATCAATGAGCGCCCGGCGTTTTGTCATCCGTGGCTTCAATGGATGCACAATAGCTATGTATCTGTCAATAGAAATAAGATTGAAAAATACAATATATACAGTGATGTAAAGTAAACTTTATTATACACTTTAGATATGTAATATCTTATATGTTTATTTGGAAAGTGAAAGGTGATAAGTATTGGTCATTGAATGAGCATTGGTCATTATAATAACATTGATTACATTAGTATACTTTGGTATACTTATCACTAAGGCTTCCAATTTTCGGGAATTTCCTCAAAAATATGCTAAAATCGGGAATTTTCCCAAAATAAGCCAAAATCGGGAAAAATCGGGAAAATAAAACTTATATATTTTTGGTCTATTATAACCCCTAAACCTAATGGTATATAATTCCCGATGATTTTGTTAACTATTTTATTCGGGAATTCCCGAAAATTGGAAGCCTTAGTGATAAGTATACCAAAGTATACTAATGTAATCAATGTTATTATAATGACCAATGCTCATTCAATGACCAATACTTATCACCTTTCACTTTCCAAATAAACATATAAGATATTACATATCTAAAGTGTATAATAAAGTTTACTTTACATCACTGTATATATTGTATTTTTCAATCTTATTTCTATTGACAGATACATAGCTATTGTGCATCCATTGAAGCCACGGATGACAAAACGCCGGGCGCTCATTGATATAACGTTGATCTGGATTTGCTCGGCATTCTTCGCGAGCCCTACTCTACTCTACTCCAGGACTATAATCATACCATACGATACATATAGACATCGTGTGGTGTGTCTACTGGAATGGCCGGACGGCATATCAGTTCATTCAAACTATGAGTTTGGGTATATATACATGTATATAATGGGACAATTAAGTTATGTTGCGATTTTTAATTTTTAAATAAATTGAAAATTAT